GCCATTACCATCTCTAGGTAACTATACAGGCTTTAACGAGATAGCAAAGCATACAAAATAGAAATTATTCCAGAAATTAATAATGTTTCATAATGATCATTAGCTAAGAGTACTTAGGACTGGGATTGTAAAGGGGGTCTATGGTAGTTAGATGCAAAGCTTAATATGATTTGGAGACTTGAGGGTGTTCAACTGCCTGTTTCTCTTGTGTTTCTCAGAAATCCCAGCTGTGCTTCATACACTCACATATAGTAATTGTCTGTCTAATATCAGTAATCCTCCTCTTTATGCGGTACCTACTGTTCAGTCTGACACTGTCTCAGACTGAAACTAGTGCCTTTGTCTCACATCTACCAGAGAAACTGAGCTCTGTCCATTAGATAATTTATATACTGCAGCTGTTTTTCCAAAGTTACCCAGGACATACTCATGCTATTTTGTATCTCTCACTGTGCTGAGAGCTCCAGGCAATGACCCAAAGTCATTGTCCTCACTGCAGGTACCATCTTCATACCATGCCCTCCTCTTCCCCTGCTTGAACCCAGACATCCTGTTGGCAGTGGAATAGAAAACATCACGACCAGCACCGATGAACTGGGAAACTGACCCTACATGGTATGGAAAGAGCTGCAGGAGGGGATGAGTATGGAAAAGGCAGTATGGCCTTTCCTCAGTTCTGCTCTGCGGCTTGTCATAAGTGAGATAATGTGAGATTATGCCAAAAGGCAACATGATACAAGGTAGGGTGTGTTATGTGATATTACCGAAAGGGCATGTTGTAAAAGTTACAGAGTAATTAGCTGGTGCCCTCATGTGAAGATTGCTAATCCATGGACCATTCATATATAAAGATACTGCTGGGCTTTTTTTCAGACTCCCTCCGCTCCACCCCCTCTGTTTATAGCTTCCTTTTGTCCTTTTCTGCTTTTTCCCAAGCAGTACACATGGTACTATTAACTCACATCAGAACTCTTTCCATTGCCTGTAGCAGACCTGTTGGGATGGTCCCAGGCACTATGTCAGTCAGAAAATTCACCTCACTTTCCCTTAAGCAATTTTGAAGAGCTCCTTTCACCTCTGCTGCATTCATATTTCCCTAAATATACCTCCTGACTCATAAAGTCTGGAGTTGCAATTCCTGACCTGTTTGTTACTCAGTTTAGCAAGGTGTTATTGGCATGATCATCTGAACAGAGACCATAGAATCACAGAATGGTTTGGGTTGGAAGGGACCTTAAAGCTCATCTGGTTCCAACCTCCTGCCATGGACAGGGACACCATCCACTAGACCAGGTTGCTCAAAGGCCCATTGAGCTGGCCTTGAACACAGGTAATAGAAGCATGTTCAGTCTGACTTACGAAAGATGAGATGCCTTGCTGGTTTGCGAATTGGCTATCCTGTACAGTTTTCCCATTTGTCTCATAATCTCTTGAATGATGGAGACTCCTACCTTGCGCCTCTTCTGAGACGTTACAGGTCTCAGTTCTGTTGTATATGTAGTAGATGTTTCCAGTTTAGGTATTACTGAATCAGTTCTCCAAGGACCTGATAATCAAGACAGTTAAAGAAGCTTGAGTTTAGCACCCTGTACGGAGCTCATGCCTGGGAGAGGTTTGATTCAACAGCAGCATTTTATGCCACTGAGAAAAAGAACTCTATAGCCCATATAATGCCAGACACTGGAGAGGAGAGAAAGAAGGTAAGAGAACTGGACAAGGTATAAAATAAAGTGTACAGATGTGGGAAAAAAAGGACAATCTTCTGTTTTCTTTCTTCTGGGAGTTAACAATGAGATCAGCAGTTAAATTCTGTTGAGCTTTCTACATTGTAATGGAGATGTAAAGCTCCTTCGTGAAAAGATCTTTGGTTTTACTATGGACTATAATATTTGGCTGCACCAAACACATCAAAATAATCTAGGCAGGCTCACAAGATGATGAAGAAAAAGTAATTTTCTTCTAAATACTGGATTTTATTTTTTTTTTAAACATTTCTACAGAAGAAAAATGCTCTGGTTTAAATAACCACTTTTTTTCCTTTACAAAATGATACTTCTTTTTTCCGCAAACTACAAGCTACAATATTATTATTTTCAGGGTTTTGTTTAAAATTTTCTTATCATTTTTGCAAGATATGTCAGCAGGA